GGTACCAAATAACGTTTAGCTGGTTGCAGGGACTTTACATCGAAGCGTAATATTAGGGAGTATATAAAAATTAACAAAACAACCAACTTCCTGAATAGGAGAAACAAGTGCAACAAAATTGAGTATAACTATTTGTGGCTGCTTGGTAGGCTTAAAGAAGAGAGAGAGAGAGAGGAGTGCAGGAAAAGCCACTGAACAAGAGAATGAGGATGGATAGCCTCAAGTTTGGCTGGGATTATCACACTTCCCATGACATGAACATTACATACACACAATAGACAAGAGCACAAGCCCAAATATGAATCAATATTAGAGGCTCGTACGGTAGTTTATTTGCGCAAGGAAACACTTGTCATCTAATGCAATTCCTTTTCGTAAAGTTACTTCACTCATCTGCAAGCATGTAGACTAAGTTTGAGGTAGCCATGGAATGTCTCATGACTAGGTGTATAAGAGAAGCAGCTAGGGTTGCAGTCTGACGCCCTTTTTCTTGATTTTGTATATTTTTGCTCTATTTCGTAAAGTATAAGTTCTTGACCTGAGGATGACTGTCACGACACAGACAAAAGCTTAGCACAGGTTTATTGGGGTCGCATGACGGTGAGCTGGAGAGTTCTTCATTACGCGGCAATCCTCCTTCAGTTTTCGGTGGGACCACATCACGCATTCCTCCAAACCAAATTTTCGTTCTAAATTAAAAGTTATATCACCATTCAGCTTAGTGGTTGCTAAACAACTTAAATTTTTATCATCCTAAAGCGTAAATTAGCAGATGGTTTTTTTGACTACACATCTATCTGTTTGCTAAAGCTGTCAATCTTCAGGAAGTCTTCTTCGATGTAGTAATATACTCCCTATGCTTAATATATCTGAAGAGAAAATAATTTTCAATCGAATTAGTAAACGAGGGACAAAAAAACAATTAGTGATGAAGTCAACTCTCTAAAGAAATCTTGATATACCCAAATATATTCACTAAATACCGCCAACTTCCTGTCAAAGAAGATGAGTATATATTCAGTTTTAGTATATTTCGAGACTGTCAGTAGATCTTAATAAGAACTGTATGCATATCTAATCACAGAGTATTAAAGGGTTAATAGTTAAATTTTCCCAAAATTATATGAGTAGGTCCCACATTTTCTATGGGATTCACTTGAATTTTAAGAAGGGTCAGGGCTTTATCACATTTTTTGTAGTGAGATTTTCGATGAAGCGAACTTGTTTTTGATATTGAAATCGATTAAATTGAAGTTCAATGGAGGCATAAGGCTTATTACATCATAGTGGAAAAATCCAATTATCCTTTCTACACTACCTTATGCGGCCTAGGGTGTTTGCAGTTTTAATGAAGATTAGCATTACAGTAGATAAAAATCCTGCATTCAATACCCTGGCGCAAGCAAGTTATGCTGTCCATGGGCCTAAACTTTAACATGTGCATGCCTGCAATGTTTGCATTACTACTGAAAACAACAACGATTCTCTTATTCCAGGTCAAGAACTACTTGCTAATGTTAGTCTAATCTAACGTTATCAGCCAATTCGTATACGGTTGTGCTCATGGCAAAATCGAGCGCAGTAATTTATGACTTGATGTTAACTCAAAAAAAATTCCAAAATGAGTGATTGTTTAACTTTATGGAATGCCTGGTAGTTAAGCTTCCCATAACGAAATGAGTGCAAGACATAACTATAACATTAAACTGTAATTAGCCCCCCCCTGACTATTTTAAAGTTTCAACTCATCATAGTACTCATAGGTACCTTGATCCTTGAAAGTCCCATCTCTGCGACCCACTGTTATTCAGACTTATGGGACGAAGTGACAAAGTTGTTGCGTGAAGCGCAACACATGATTACTTATCCTAGACGAGGTCAAAGCTGCGGTTCACCCTAAATGAGAAATCCAGTTGGGAGGCATAACATCCATAATATCGTGAGGAAATTTGCTTATTTAATTAAGGAAACCTCAAATACTAAGCTTTCCATCACCCTAAGCGAATTAAGTTGACCCTAGCTCTACTATGCATAGCTCTACTCATATACTTCATTTATATGGGCAATAGGAAACTCAAAAATACAGTGAATTTTAACACCCTGAAATTTTGTTTTTCTTATGTTTATCGATTAAAAGTCATGCTCTAAAAAGGTATAAAGTTGGTTGAGTATAGGTAAATATTTTTCTTTTCTTCTTTATTAAATTATTTTTTAAATGTATATATTACTTTTAGTTTAGTTAGGATTACCTACTTGTGACTTTAAATCAAGTATATCAATTTTACTTTTCTTCTACTATACTTTTACCTTAATTATATTTACAGAAGACTCGACTCTGCGAACTGGTTCAGGTGAAGGATAACAAGTTGCGACGGATGTCTGAATGGGGCTTCTATTCGCTGGTTGGGCCCTTTTGGCTGCAGCTATGGCAGCCTCCGCAACTGACCGTGGCGGCAATAAGTTTGCATCTAATGCCAGTCGAAGAGCATCTGGTGAACAACGATGTAAGTCAATCAAACCCAGAATTTCAATTTTCTGTTCGGCTGAAAGATCTAGGCAGCCAAAGAAAGGTTTAAAAAAATAGAGCAATAGCTTAGAGCAGTGATTCCAAAACTGTGCGCCGCGGCGCCCCGCGGCCTCTTTACAGGGGCGCCGCGAAATATTGTAAAAGCTTCATAATTAATTCAACCAGACATTTGGCCTGACTTAACAAAAACGTGAGAGAAAACGCTGAGTCTTCTCGATCGCGCCATATGATCGCACTAAACACGTCGAGATGCGTAGAACCTTCGCAACCGATTTGGAATGTTCTGGAAGATATTGCGGAAAGTATATAAACAAGTGTTCTCGGCTCGCTTTAGTCAGTCGATTTATAACTTAAGTCTAGTCAAGTTAAACTCAGCGCTTCATATATAAATAAACAGTGACATAAATTAGTAAATGAGTTCATATTGT